TTGACAAGTTAAACAAGGACACATGCGTACATATCTATACACACTTATACATATACATATATGTATATATGTAGGATATGCTTACAATATGTTATTCTGGAGGTTTATTTTTCGGGTTAAGTTTTGTGCCTTTCTAAGAGTTTTAGAAACTCAAGGAAGGCAGGGGCAGACAAAAGACACTGTACTGAATAGAGTTTTAGTTTTAAAACATAAGAAAAAATAAATATTATCAAATAAATAAGCACAAAAAAAAAAAATACAAATACGAGGATAAAATATTCAGTTAAGGTAACACTGAGAGAGCGTTTACTATTCACTTTGATGAGCGAACTCTAAAATATCCCATTATTGATCGTTATTGAAGAAGAATTAATCAATGCTTAATGCTAAATGGATGTTCGCGCACATTGACAAGTGTCTACGCATTCAGCTGCTAATCCCAATATCTAATAAAGGAATTTAACAGAGTTTGATCATATATTTTCGTCCTTGCAGGCAATCTCCTTTTGTCCACTCTTAATAAATGGAGACTTATTGAACATGCTCCCGTGCTTGTAAAACATAGAAATATATTACAAGCCTATTATTATAATTTATTTATCCGAAAAAAATAAATTCATGGATTAAGGTAAGATGAACAATATCGGCTTGATCTTATATTTCAGAGATACCTTCCAGATTTCTATAGGAGTAGTCGTGCCGAATCGACTTTTTAATCATTTGAGACGATTCGATCAACCTAAGAGCTTCTTTATCTGCGCTCTCTCTCTCTCTCTCTCTTCGTGACTTCGTGAATGCGTCGCGTTTAAAGGCTTCATCAATATGAAATTTATGATTATAGTTCAAGGTAACTGAAGCGGGAATATTCTGAAAATGTAAAAAATGTAAAATCTGTAAAAATCTATCATAGAATTGAAAGTTCGTTGTAGAAAATTGCTTAACAAAGTTTCGAACTTTTTGTTTTAAAAAAAAAGGTATAAAAATAATTATTTTAAATAATGAAATGATTTGAAATATTCTGATCTTTTGATTGAACGCTCCATTACCCTTAACCGAGAGGCTCCGTACAAAACTTTGGAGTGGAAGACTTTTCCAAGCGGCCCTCATGCCTTGCGCGTGGTTTGCCCACTTAAGTAAAATCTTTTAATAAGAACTCCCGGATTTCTATATTTCTTTCGTTTTTTTTTTTGTTTTCTCTCTCTCTCTCTCTCTCTCTCTCTCTCTCTCTCTTTTTTTTTTCTTTTTTTTTCTTTGTTTTCTTTTTTCTTACAAAATGAATACATTTTTTGCATAATTATCATTATATAATAATAATTTATGTCAAATATTTACAGTATGGTCGCAAAGATAAGTCAATCCATCAAAGCTACTTTTGTAAGAGATAGAAAGAAAATATGTAGGCGAACAGAAGCTTTTTTTTCCCCTTTTTTTTTCTATATATGAAAAAGTTGCGTACACATATGGAATATATACATAAACAAAAGGCAGCGAATATAACGAATTGTAATTAAAATTAATGACAACACTTAACAAAAGCAAAAACAAATGCAGAAAAGACACTGTTTCCCACACTTAGATTTTGATGACATGAAAATTGTTTAAAATATAATCTTTTAGAAAAATCAAGATAGTTGCGGTAAGCTTAAGCTACGTATATATGTAAATATAATGATCGATAAGAATCCTTATCGAAAACTAGACGCGATTACCAAAGTGACCCTTTTACATAACAAAATCAAAAAATATGTATCATCCTGCACTTGTTCTCGAATAAAGAGATTTATCTAAATCTCAATAACAATAGAAAAAAATTATCTCTAATTACACGGGTTGATGATACTTTCAGTAAAAAGAAGCAGTAGATAAAATGAATAAAAGCACATTAGTTAAACATATTAGTTAAACTCGAATACCTGATCTCCTATACAAGACTTTTTAAGAGCCAGCATGAAAAAATTAAGTTTCAATAAATTTCCGTTAAGTGTTCGCAGTTCAGGCTTTGGAATATGCGGTTACGGCATATGCGGGGGAAGGCAGTAAATACAAAATATATTACGCGGATAGATGGGAATCGAACAATAATTGTAAACTATTATTAACGCTGCTTTTCGATTTTTCGACTGAGAGCTTTTCGAACCTTTTGACAATTAATCTAAAGCTTGACTTGGACTTAGCCATCAAGAAAATCTCCTCTTCTTCAGTTACAAGACGAATTGTGGTCTTCTCTCTGCCCTCCGCATATATATTTGTGTATCAACTGTTCAACGATATTCGCAGTCATTTGTGAGCTTAAAGAGGACACTAGCATGCAATCAGAGCAAGATTTGGACTAAAATGATGCATGTATTGATTGTTATAATGCTTTTTTTACTTATTATAAGCGGGACTGAAGAGGATGAGACGCCCATTTTCATCGACGTCGAAGCGTGGCATCAACTTAATTGGTTAGTTGCAAGCAATTGTGTTGCATCCCGTAAGCGTTACAAAAAAAGGCAACACCACATTATTTTCATACGTATTACCTGAATGCAAAAAATGGAGAAGCAATCAACTGTCCTGACTGATAAACAATGCAATCAAACGAGATTACAGGCTACTAAATAACTGTTTGTAGCTTGTTCTTGCTTAGATCAGTTCACAAAAGGCCGAATGAAAAAATCAAAGTATCTCATATCTTTTACTATAGATGCAGAACATGCTTAACAAGTTAACTAACAGACAGACCATTTTATGCATGTTATAATACTCATTCAATCATTCTTTAATGTGTTATGTGTAATTTAATGGTTACTGTGCAATGGGCGTATGCGCACAGCTTCACTCTCACTGCCCAATTGATCGTTAATTAACCATTAAATTTGAAGAATTGTTACAATAAACAAGTGCTCTGTCATTAGTCCACTCTTAAGCCCCTAAGTCATGTTTTTTATTAAAAAAATAAAAAAAAAATAAAAAAAAAAAAAACAATCGTAATAAAAATTGTCAAACATTTTAATTTACCGCCTCACCCTAATCAATCAATTTCGATTCATATTCTCTCTCAGTTTTTTTTTTTCTACTTATATTTACCGATTACAATCATTAAAGCCATTAAGCTTTCCTCTTTCCTGCGGTGTGCTCTTCTCACACTCCGCGAAAAGGGTAGTTTTTTGTTAACAAATTTAGCTGCTTTTTTATAGTGTAGTATTTTGCGCGCAACAACGAGAACAACAATTTCCTCTTTTGACACTTTTTGTTTGTCAAGTACTCGGAGCGCTTATTCACTTGTACGAGGCTGTGTGTATGAGTACTGCCCACATTTGTTACAATTTAAATAATACGCGATTTAACTTTTGTTACATTTATTTAACTGTATGGTTAGATGACAATGATAATTTTCAATTGCCGCTATACATAAACACAACCAAAGCGGCAAAGTTCGCTCTAGGGGGGGAAATATTCAATATCCGCCACCTCAACATAATATACCGAAATTGCATATTATTATTTTTTTCTTTTTTTGTCAATTATTAGCCTATAGTTATAGCAGTTAACATATCTCAGGCCATTTGCATTCCTTCTTTGGGACGAGAACTTCAATCAGAATAAATACAAATGAAAAGTTTTACACATTTGAGATTATTTCAATTTTTGTACCCTACGCCAGTTGTTATACAAAAATATGTTATATTTGCTCGAATGCTTGCAACGCCCAAAAGGGCTTAAAATAGAGCCGCCTTTTATATAAGCTTGTCGATCTGTCTGCCCGTCTCGTTTTCTTCTATACAACTTATAGATCGCAATTTTTAAGATATTTATAGATGGAAATCTATATACAAACTGCTTCTGATCGGGACAATTTTTCGATCACTTCTAATATAACACGTTAATTTGACAAGTCGTTATTTACATAATTATAGGGTGATATTGGGTATTTAATGGTTGCCAAAACCCCACTATAAAGTCTTTATTTCTTTAATTGTCAGAACTGAGTTTGTAGACAGGTCATAACCATTTTCAAACTGCGGAATTGAATGAAGAGTATATAGATTAAACCACGGTCATCCATCTAACTTCTTGGGGCATTGAAAATTTGAACGACTGAGTACAATCTTTAGTATTTTAGTTGGGCGCGCATAGTCTACGTTTCATTCATTTATCATTTAATAGCACACAGTTGAAAGAAGAAACTTTAACTTCCCGCGAGCATGATCCCAACATTCCTGGGGAACCAGAATAATGTCATAGGCAGGAACGAATTTCTCGCCTCTCGATAATGCGAAGCCTACTTAACACGTTAATATTTGATAATGTTTAATATTTCACGCCTTCTCAACCATTTTGAAGTAACAACACAGCCCTCGCCAAACCCCACAAGATCAAGCAACTGCCCATGCCCGGTACGGACTACAAATTCTTAAATTATACTTTAATCAGCTTAAAGTCACTCTTTTATTTACATTTTCCATACATCGTCCAAATTTCACCTTCCGTAGAGACATTTCAAAACAATTTCATACGTTTTTTCCATACCTCCTTTTGAATTGTAAACAATTTCGTATGTTTTTCAATCGAGTTTCCATACCTCTCTTTGATTTCATATGTTTTTCATTCCAATATCCATACCTCCTTTTGAATTGTAAGCAATTTCATATGTTTTTTTCAATCTTCGCAATTTGAAACTTTAATACTTTGTCACCAGCACTTATTAAATGTAACCCCTAAAGATGGCATTTCCTTGTCGTCAGATTATTCAGAAGAACCATCAAAATCCTGAGCGCAAATAATGTCCAAACTTAGAGCATTGTATACATTTCATTGTATATTTCTTCTTTGTCAACAGATGCAAACAGTAGGTATTGAGAAATTCAAATTAGGTCGTATTATTTTTTAGTTTTTGCCTTTTCTTCAATTTCGGCACAATATCATTCATCATACAACGATCATAATAAATAGAACAACCCTGGATTTTTCTCTCCATAAATTGAAATTAGCAATTAGATCCGGCAGCTTTATTTACCGTTAACAGCTGAGTTGAAAAAGCGGTTTCTAAGCAAATTATTAAAACGTAAACAAGTCTTAAAAGCAGGACAAACTTTAGCAAACTAATAAAATGGAAGGCAAGGACAATCGATCCAAAGAGTAAGATTTTAAAAGTTATTTGTCTAATGCCAAGAAACTAAAATGAAGATAAATTGTGCTTATTGATTTTTTTTTTCTAGTAAACGACACAAAATGAAAGCACACTTCAGAAGCAAAAGTAAATATTGCACAAATTCATCTAGTTCGGGACCTAATGATACAGTGCGTAGTGTTGTAGATGTTGTGGATTCCAGTGATGAGCGATTTATTGAAGTTCATGAGTGGTCTAAGGGTGGTAGACGATGTCCAGCGCAAAAACAAAGAGATTATCCGTTGGAAATGGATAGTGAAAATCCAGAAAATGAGCAAATGCGTGCGGGAGATTTTAAATTGATGTCTCAATTGCCCACTTCGATAGGTGGTCATTTTCAGTTCTCTACTGAAAAGCAATGGGAAATAGCGGAAAATGATCAGTTGCTAAATAAAACGGAAGCGAGCGAATATTTTAAATTTAATTTACAATTATTGAACGTAGGCTTGCAAACGATACCATTTTACAAGCGAATGGATTATGCGGCTTCTATGTTTAGCGCGGAACAATTGTTGAATATGGAAAAAGCAAGTGAGGCAAGCGAAAAGATATATCAACAGGTGTTGAAGGAACATATAGAAAATCCTAAACTTAAAATTAATTCGGGCAGTCAAAAATCTAGAGATTCAGCCCGAAGCCAAAAGCCGGAAAAACCATTAACAGATAATGAAACAAATGATGAACTGGAAGATTTGTTGAATATAAGCACAGATCCAGCAGCTAAAATCGATTTACCAAAAAGCCAGGAAACATCTGCAAATGTTGAACCAGATCGACACCTACCAGGTGTAAAAGGGGCCGAAAATAAAAATGAGATACAAGAATGGTTGGATAATGTTTTAGAAGAATAAAGCTCTTCAAATTAATATAAAGGAAAATATAGTTTTATTATAACAATTAACGATAAAGGGCGGAAGGTCTACAAAAAGTCGTTGCCCTAAAATTAATAGGAACAAATTATTTTATGCACCTTTCAAATTCGGCGCTTCATTATTAATTTAATTATAAATAACTTCTATTCTATTGCTAGTTTTATTTTAACACTCAGTTAAATTATTTAAGATATAATAGCCATTTTAATAAAATCAAATATAAATCTCTTTTACACTATAAAATTTTATAATGGGCTGTTGAATTCGTTTAACAACCCTGTGCATTATAACAGCTGCTACGACTGCACTATCCTGCATATCTTGTGAAGAGAACGTGTCGTGTGTCTTTTTCGGCTCAATCGTCAAATTGTATATCAAAATTTTTGAATTGTGAAATTAAAAAATAGAATCAAAGAATGTCGAATTTTACTTGCATCAACTGCAGCGTGAAATTCGCTAACGCAGACATGCAACGGGAACACTATAAAACTGACTGGCATCGGTACAATTTGAAAAGACGAGTTGCAGAAATGCCACCAATTACGGCCGAGGATTTTCAAACTCGCGTTTTAGAAATGCGTAATGCTGAGGCAATGGTCAATGCCGACAGGCAAATGAGCTTATATTGTAATGCTTGTCACAAGCAATTCGGCAATCACAACGCTCACGACAATCACTTGAACAGCAAGAAGCATCGAGATAATCAGCATAAGTTCGAGCAGCAAAACGATGGAATTGATAAGGAAATAACAAGTAGATCTGTAATAGGGACAAAGGCGTCTTCAACAATAGCTACTTCTCCTCAGGATAAACCAAAATATATTTTGGTAACAGATAATAATCACACCATACACAATGACGATTTTGACGACATTGAAGAAGAAGAAGAAATTGTAGGTGCAGATTTAGAATTGGAAGAATTGCCAGAAAATCCGTTGAACGTTAGAAATTGTCTCTTCTGCGTACACGAAGCCGAGGATATTATGGATAATTTAAAACACATGTCAATAGCTCATTCATTTTTCATACCTGATGCAGAGTACTGTGTGGATCTGGAAGGTTTGCTCTATTATTTGGGTGAGAAGGTGGCAATTTATTTTGTTTGCTTGTGGTGTAACGATCGCGGGAAAACCTTTTACACCTTGGACGCTGTGCGCAAACATATGATTGATAAGGGCCATTGCCAAATGCTACAAGAAGGCTTGGCATTGGCAGAATACGCAGACTATTATGACTATAGTCCCAGTTACCCAGATCACGTAATAGAATTGTGCCTCCTATCGTCTCATCTCTATTCTGTTAATTTCTTCTTGTTTTAGGAAGAAGGTATGGATATCGATGAAGAGGTCGTACCTGACCTGTTAGATGGCGATGAATATCAATTGGTCTTACCTTCCGGGGCAGTTATAGGTCATCGCTCTTTATTGCGTTATTATAAACAATATTTAAATCCAAACCGCTGTATTGTAGCTAAAAAATCCGACCGTAGGCTACATCATCTATTGAGTACCTATCGTTCCTTAGGTTGGTCTACTACACAACAGCATGCGGCCGCTCGTAAGGCACGTGATATTCATATGATGAAACGTGTTCAAGCCAAATGGCAAATGAAACTGGGTTGCAAAGCTAACAAATTACAAAAACATTATCGTGCACAAGTTCTATTCTAAAATGTTTTTATATTTATTTCGAAGTTGCATGTGTTTACGATCGACAAACTTATGAAAAATCTTTACACAAATTTAAATATGGAATATGGAAAAACTCAATTTGTGGAAATCGTACAAAGTGCATAAAATTTTTATTACCTACCAAAAAGTAAACACTATAATAAAAATAAAAAAGAAAAATATAGTAATCATTGAAATTTTAATTTATCGAAATTAAAGACTGCAAAATATATTGACAACCAGGTTACAAGAGCTTGCAGTTTTTGTACTAACATAATATAGTAATAATATAGTAATGGACGTTACCGAAAATACTTGCGACGAAGAGAGAAATTTCAAAAGCCAAATAAACTATTAACGTACGTACAGTGTACTAAGGAAGACCGTACAATAAATGTAATGAATGATGAACGGCTTTATAGTAAAAGAAAGCTTGTAACGGCCTTTAATACGATCATATAGTATAAAAAAAAGCTTTCTTCAACACTGATTTGAGGCGAATTTTAGATGATGAATCAAAAATGAAAGCTATAAAGAATCTTGCAATTGTCAACGCCAATCTTGATACAAATACGTATCAAACCTTTAGATCGAATCGATTGATATAAATCCAAGCTATCGGCGACAATAATTTAGAGATTTTGTTTTGCGGTGGACTGATCACGTCTACTCTAAAGCTAGGAATGTAGGATTTGACTATGAAAATATGTTTACAAAGTTAAAGCTGGTTCCAATTATGTCGAATGACAATCTCATCCAGATTAAAATCGTTTAATGCTTATCCATGATCTGTGCATAAATGTCAAAAATTAAGTTAATTAGAAATGGCTTACTAAACATAACTATATATATATATAACTATAACGAAAATAATCGTAATAGAAAAAATTGTTCAAACATCCTCTAAACGAAGACACGAGCTTTCATAAATTTTAGCTTTCAAAATTTCTTCAACAATAAAAAGTATTTAATAAATACAATCCGAAAAGCGGAAAAATATGTACAGTTTTAGTGCCGAGAAAATTAAAAACAAAAGTCTTTATAGTAAATATTTATATATACGTACACACTTCGGAGAATCACCCACTCTCCCGTCCCTCACACTAAATAACGTACAAAGTTTAATTAATTATTAACTGGAGGACTCTGTTGACCCAAGACACTCATCATGAGTGAAGAAGTATCGTCACTCGAGGTACCGTAATCGCTATTGCAGCTTCTGTTTTCTCCGCTGTTACTACTGCTGCCGCTGCTAACAGACAAACACATATCGCTGCATTATTCTTCTAGCATTTGCACTTCAGAGCTCCAGTATTGCTGTAATTGTCCTTTTGATTGTTGCAAAACTGAACTATCTGCTGCTGTTGCTGTTGCTGTTGCTGGCATTTTGTCAATATACGAATTAGCGGACGACCTAATATAGACAGAATTAATTCCAGTCATCCTAGTATTTATAATTGAATCCGTTGTCACTAAATGAGAAGATGTCTCCGTTTGTGGAAGGTTAGCTGAACCCACAGGCAATGAAGAGAGTGCATAATTTTGAAGATTTGCTAAATGTGGATTGATTGGGAACAATGACTTTACGCATTCATCTTCACCTGACTGATGTTGATGTGCATGGAAAGTTTCCATGAAGGCGTTTGTTTGAACCAAGTTACTATTAGAGCTCCAATTTGCATCTGTAGGTAAGGTGGAAGTAACAAGATTCGCGTTATTGCTTTCGATAGCCTTTTCATTGCAAGCCTCTTCCCAAATGGGGGAAAGATTATTTATCATTACAAGGGGTGGACACCATCGCATCTGATGATGATGTTCACTGGTGTCCGCGGCTTGAGCAAAAAAATTGCTATTAGTATTGGCAGTAGATGGTGGCAATACACTCCTTAATGCGGCCAAATAAACACTCTCATCTTCATGCTCATATTGAAGATCCTGCATTCTATATACCGACTTCAGCATTACATTTGTATGTTTAAAGTTTCCTCCTGTTTCACTAACTCTGTTACTTGGTGATGAAGTGTTGTTGTTGTTGTTACTGATGCTTCCACGGCTGTTAAAATCTTCGCCGCCCACCCCATCATATCCTGTTAAGCTACATAAGCTCCTGGACGGATGGCTCGGCGTTGCATGCATAAGAAGACCTTAAGTAAACCGAAATAATAAATAAAAAGGTATTATATAACGTATCTATAAAATCTCTTAGTAAGAAAGTGATTAGCATAAAAAAAAGAAGAGATAACCCTTTTGGGGCTAGTATATAGCAGAGAGTAGCTTCAGTTATAAGAAAACATCAGTGTTGATCACAAAAGAACAAAAAACAAGAAATTTGAATACGTCATTTCTGCGAAACGAGCTAATGAAAATGTATTGTAAGTAGAAAAATATTAAGCGCACTTTGCGCATGGATAATTAACTTAATTTCTTTATTTACCCTGAGTGGTCTGTTCTGGATCTACGAACTGTTCTTGTATTGCTTTGCAGTTAAACGAAGTCGGTATTCCTGTATTGTCCGTTGATTCCGAATTGAGGCAATAGGCAGTGGTGCTTTCGTTCGCAGCACGTTTAAAAAAGTTATGTTGCAAAGCATAGTATGGCGTGACACGTATGTTTGGATCAAATTCCAACATTCGCAATATCAAATCATTAAATTTCAAATAATCGGTCATTGAATGCTCGGATTCGTCAGTCCGTTTCCCACCTGAGCGACCTATGTCGATGCCCAATATATTGTGCAACTTTCTGGAACCGGGCAGTTCATATTTACGGCTGTTTTCACTTTTCTTCAGTATATAAGAACCGTCCAAAACAATTTTATCAAAAAATTGATGAGTCTTTTCTCCTTGATCCAATAAATATTTAGGTGGCATACCCAATACTTCAACAATTTTAGTCATCTGATCGATTTCATCGCAACCGGAAAATAAAGATTCACCCGTATGCATTTCTACTAAAACACAACCCAAGGACCACATATCAATGGCCATATTGTACGGTATACCCAATAGGACTTCGGGTGAACGATAGAAACGTGATTGGACATACTGATATATCTAGAGTATGGCAAAACGATGAAACTTCATTTATAAATATATACTAAATGAGATATGGGAATCTTACCCTTTGACCCAACTGACATGAACTGCCGAAATCGATCACTTTTATAGCTGAACGTTTCGGATGGCAAAGCAGTATATTTTCGGGCTTCAGATCGCAATGTATTACGTTCAATTGGGGAGAACTCAAGAATAACAAAGCATTACATAATTGTTGAGCGAACTCGCGCGTTAAATTCAGCGAGACACCACGAAAATTTCTATTACGTAACAGATCGTATAAATTATAGGATAATAGTTCGAAAACAAGACATAAATGACTTCGCCACACAAAATGTCGTTTGAGCTGAACTAGACAAACGAGGAGCAAAACGTATTTGAAAAATAAAGTTGAAAGAATTTTTGGAAAATTCGACTTAATCGCTTTACTTACCTATATAAGATCTATTTTCACCTTCTACACGGTTCATCATTTCCAATAGTTTCACTTCAATTTGTGCCTGATGTAAGAACGGGTTCTCATTTTTTATGATTTTTATCGCCACAAAACCTTTCTCTTCATGATCGTAAGCTTTCACCACTTGACCGAAACTGCCTTTACCTTTGAGAGAATAAAAAGAATGAAAATTATTGCGTCATATATATAATATTTCTTTAAAAATCTATTTCAATGCCCACCTATCAACGATCTAATAACTTTTCTCCACGTTTTATAATATAATCGTAACTATCATTATGCAATTTACGTTGTTTTTTATATGGAGAGCCGCCACCGTCACCACCGCCACCATCTTCTGTCTCTTGAGATCGGCGTTTCTTTTGCGTTTCCCGAATGTGAAAATAAAAATTGTAAAATAATTAACAAAAAATTTTATATTAATATTTACAAATTGTTGGTTTGTCGTAAGAAGCATTTCGACGGAAAAGTTATGGAAATCGGATCCAATTATGGTATGATAAACACGAAGGGCAATTAAAAAACGTAAGCGGAGAGAAAAACGAGAATTAAGCAAGAATTTTAAGAGATTTTCGATTTCAGTTCGCTTTAAAAGTCATTCAGGAAAATATTTCGAAACATCGAATATGAAAATATAAAATTAAAATTAGCTTTGCCTTTGAGGTGAAGAAAAAACAAAAAAAATATATTGAAACAAGCCTTGAATTGAATTTCAAATACGCAATGCTAACTGCGATAGATGGATAGACATGCATATAAGATAATATATAAAAAGTACTTAGTTCCCATCAAAATCATAGCTACTAACTAACATATATTCAAAATGATATAATTTTTCACATCAAAAAATACGTTCAGTTACCTCATCTCAAATAAATTGGCACGTGGATAACTTTTTTTTTTTTTTTTTTTTTTTGAAATATCCTCCATATCGGTATCAAAGGAATGAGCTTAAAGAGTAGAATGCGAAAAGCTAAGCGTGTTAACTCTTAATTAATTATGGCCGATGCGACATGGTGGTCAGAACATAACAATTTAATTGTTCCCTAACAAAACATTTTAGGGAAGTAAAGGTTGATAGAATCTCAATTTTATTTCATTCAGTTTTTGGTGACTATAAATAAAAGATAAAAACATGGGGTGACAAAGATTTTAATGATGGTGGCTATGCGAGATTCAACCCCAGCCGAATATAACTTTCTCAGTAGTTATACCCGCCACTGTAAGATGGGATATACTCATTTTGTATTTTTCCACAAACATCCAAAATAAAGGCACAGAGACGCTATAAAGTATATATATTCTTGATCAGCGTAAAATTCTGAGTTGATGCAGCCATAGCCATGCGCCGGTGTGGTGTGTGCTTTTGGTAGTCTCCTGGTCGCAAAAATAAATATATCGACTTCAAATCAGGTCGAAACATTGGAAGTTTCTGTACGCAGATTGATATTGAGAATGGGTCAAATTGGTCGGAGCAGAAGCGCGCAGTGGGGCATCAACTGAACTTAACTCAGTTTTATTGAACAAAAATTTTTGGAAATTGTTAAAGTTACAAGGCAACATTCCACATTTGCCTTACGAGATACTTTACTCTCTAGGCCCAGAAATGGAACCAATCGGCCGTGTCGACACAAAGCTGCGAGTAATTAAATTCGATTTTCCTCACGTTTTTGAGATTTAATGCTTATTTATCATAAGGCAAACAAGACAAAACGGTTAAAACTACGCTGCACAGTCCTCAAATGAAGATATATTAAGTGCCTAAAAATAGATTAATTTTAAAATGAATATGGCCGACACCGCGGTTAATTTTTTCTTAATAATACCAGCGATATGGGTATCAAAAAAAAGAACTTGGCAGAGTAGAATGCAAAAGGCATAGTGGCGGGTATGCGGGAGATTCGGCTACCGTCGAATACAACTCTCTCGCTTGTTTCATAATAGAATTGATGACAGAGAGTTCTATTGCGATTATTATCTTAAAATATGAAATTTGATACAAAGTCCGAAAAACCCAGTAACGTAAATCCGTCTTTTGTGATTTTTACGGTATTTAATCATCTCCTTTTGAAATTAAGTTCGTACCCCTGAATTGTGATTTTTAGGATAGTGGTTAGGTTTTATTCACAATTCTTACGACATTTATTTACAAATCATTTACAGAAATTTATATTTACAACAAGGCTTTAACACTCGCTCTAGTCTTATCCGTTTGAACATGACAATTCAGCTCTCTTGACTTGACTCTCTTCGTCTTCCCCAAATATTCTGCTTATACACTCGTTTACATGCACGCTACCATTAACCCATTAATCCATTTTCTGACAATTGTGGTTAATCTTTTCGCCAGTCGCCAGTCGCCAGTCGCCAGTCGCCAGTTGAATGACGCCACGAATGTGTGCTTGGTTTTTCTCTTCTCGTAGATTTAATTTCTTAGAAAATCGGCTAATTATCATGAAAAATCAAATCACCAAAAATGACATTTTCGTAACAATATTTTGAATTCTTCTTTGCTTTTTTTTCTCTTTTAATATATGTAAATATTTTCAAATATGGTGACTTAAAGGGAAATTCTTAGTTTATTTTTCCTTATCATAAACCTCGGCTTTTCCGTGGGAAATTATTGCTTATAAGGTGTGGAGAGTGATATTCTGTTATTGGGTTAATTTTGTAGATAAAGAATTCAAATATAGAGAGCTGTCTTCTTGCATTCTATCAAAGTTTTCCCATCGTTGCAAAGTTAGGACTACCTTGTTAATCCTTTTCACGTCTTTTATGCTTTGCGGGAGATCAAATTTCTTTTCGTTTAAATGAAAAAGGATATCCTTCAAGTGACATCAGTATGTGAAAGCACGTGAAAACATTCGCTATTTAGCACTTTCTCGAGTTGGCCGTGAAATTATCGCACATTAAATGTTTTTAAATATAATTTCATAATACCATCCTCCGCTAACGCACGTAGCATATTTTCGAAAAATAAAAAAATTTTTACTAAAATTAACATCTGTTGCCGTTTTCTGAATCAGTATTTTAAAAAGATTTTTTTAATTTTATTTTCAAACTTTTCCATATTTACGCGTTAATGTAAAATTTTATTTAAAGATACATCATAGTTTGACTGCTATCACCTTCTATTACAATGAGATATACGAAAACCATAAAAGGGTGCAGACAAAGCACCCGATCGTATGAATTGCCGTCGTCATTTCATTTTCTAACTACATTTCATAATTTCATTTATTGACTTATAGGTTACCGGTTTTCTTTAAGACATAAGTTTCTTCGGTGCTTTGCAATACCTTTAAGAGTTTACCTTCTTTTACAAGTTTTGACAAATGGTGACCAACATTAAGAGAAGCGGCAGACCACAGGTGTTCAGGGACCTCTTGGTATATCACTTTCACCACATCCATAGATTTCATGTGCTTGTGAGGATTTCGCATGAAAAGATCGAGAATCTGTTCTTCTCTTTGCAATCGATGTTTTATATAATATTTTATTCTCGCAATTGGATCTTCTATAATGTTACCATGTCCAGGATATATAATAGCAGGATTAATGCTTAATATATTTTCTAAGCTTTTCATATAACTGTATAAATCTTCAAAGACCGCGGTACCTTCTCCTGAAAACCAAACTTATTTTATATATATATACTTTTAAGTTAAGCTTATCGTTATATACCCAATATGCAGTCCCCACTGAAGAGTATCCCTTCAGGCGTGGTAAGAATAATGTGATCAGTAGTGTGTCCAGGAGTATGTACTATTCGCAGTTTGCTCCCAACTACCTCATATTCTTCTTGATCTTTCAATGATTGAATTTGAACATTTGGCGGGATTTCGGGGCACATGTCGGTCTCGTTTATTCGAGGATGTTTGTAAACTTGGCAATCTTTAGTGTAAAAAGAAATTATTAAACAAAATCTTTCGCTTGAGCTTAGGTCCAATATTTATAACATTAAAAACTATGCAAAGACATACCTGTATCAGCAAACATTCTTAAAATATCCTTAACTCCACCTACATGATCATGATGCCAATGAGTTAAAATAATTCCGCCTATTGTAGCTCTTTCCTCCTCCAAAACTCTACCTAAATGTTGCAGATATTCAGGCACGTCAATATCGCCAGTGTCAATCAGAAGACGCCTCCAAATGGATAGAAATTACATATTTTTCTCTTATTCGCTTAAGCTGCGTTGTAAGTTGTGGATTTACCTTTTTCCAGTACCTAATAAGTAGGTATTTGTGCCCTGCAAAGTCATAGGACCGGGATTGCATCCCAAAATTCTAATTATTGATGAAGAAAGTCTAGTAACTGGTGGAATGAATGCCATTTTATATTTAATGAATGCGTGCCAAAAATTTTCTTCTTTGTTCAACTGTTCATTATTTATTTATGTAAACAGCTGTTTGTATGACGTTCAACGTTTTCACATGGTTCGCATGGTAAACATATTATATATGAAGACAATTTAGAAAAAAAAGTAAAAAATGAATTCTTTAAATTTAAGAATTTCTTCAGTTAAAACGGGTGAGAATGTTCGAAAAAATTCCGAAATGCGTGCCGCACTGATTTCTATACCGAAGCAGTATGAATCATGTAAGTAGGATTTTGTCCAATAAGTTTTTTTTTTTTTACTGCAATCTATATAAAGATTCTTGTAATTCTTGCAATTCTAATATTCAAAAAGGCGAGGAAACTTACTGCGTCGAAATGAAGAAAGCAAAGACTGTGCCGGAGCAGGTGAACTGTGTGAAAAGCGTAAGTCATCAATAACAGAGAGAAAGGATCCGTATGTTGTCATAATAATTGTCTGTAGGTTTTCAAGGAGATGGGAAATGATGGCGGCGCTTTACAGTTCCTTTGCGATATATATTTTGCGAGTCCTCTTAAACATCCTGTTCGTAATCAAATATTAAAGTAAGTTATTACTTTCAAAAATTATCGATAAATGGCAAATAGGAGAATGGCATCCTCCTAACATATTTTTATTTACCTTTTTTTTTATGTAGACTTTTAATAACGATGGTTCGATTGGGCACTGCCGGAACAGATGAGTCTTTTATAATTAACTCTTTAGTTAATAGCCTCCATCGGATTGTAGAAGAAGGCAAAAACGAGAAAGAGAGTGTTAATTGGAATTCCGCTATAGCTTCCCTGTCCGGGTGTTTTGAAAATTTTGAATGTGGAAAAAAAGCTCTAGAGCAATGCATCCATTTGATTTTTCCATTTGCTTGTGCTTCTGTCCATAAATATGTTACCGAGCTTGGGTATGAAGAAGCAAATTAATTTAAAAACCAATAATAATAATAAGAGTTTTTAATTTTTAGCGTTTTAAGTTCACCATCCGTACGCAATGAGTATTATTCATATGTTCACAATTCCATCCGCTTCATGTTATGTTGCATTCAAGAATTCGGTCGTCTATTGAGGACTTCTTATGCCGAGCAATTGAAACAATTAAATTTGAATTGCAAGGAGATTATATTAGACAGCGATATTCCCATGGATCCGCGCACAAATTCTGGAATTTTGATGGCACATATTGCTAAACTATTTGATAATTATGATGTTTTCATTGCGTCAGCTAAAGATACCAAAAATCCTAATGAAATTGTTCTTTGCGTTGGCATCATAAATACTTGCGAGCAAAGCGATTTCCAAAAATATTCCGCTGATATACGTGATATTTGCGGCAAGATTGACGAAATTGCTAACTTAAACGCTACTGTGCCTAACATTTTGCTTTGCGCTACTCGTGCCCTTTATCAGATTTCAAAATTAATTCTGAATTTCGCGTTAAAATCCTCGCAAACTTTAGACGATATAAAGTTAATTCTACGTAAATTATTGATTTTTACTGTTGCTTACTTAGAGCACCATATGGATAGTGTGCGGCATTTATGCCGCGATCTTATGCGCAATATCGTTGCCGCGGCTAAAAAAGTGGAATTCGATTTCCTGCTGCAAAAAATCTATGACGCCTGCAATTCCGAGCGTTTATCATTGTCTATGAAATGTGTTGTATTGCAGCAAGCTGCTGTTATTTTGGGAGCCGAAGAGATTATCACGAATTGTCTGAAATTGTTTTCTGAACTTTTCGCCGCAAATCTTGGCAGAGATTTTATTGTAAATAATTTATTCGAAAGTGAGTCAGCTAAGACAGATGTGTTCTTTTTAAAATGAGTAACCTTGAGTATTATAATATTTTTGTCCTTTGATTAGCGCTTATGATTGCCCATCATAAGGAGTTAGCTTTCGAGAACTGGATTAAAATTTGGATTAACTATTTACTAAATATTGCCGCTGCGCAGGATTCTCGTTTAGCCGATATTGAAATTCTTATCGTTAAAGCAGTAAAATGTGAACCGCGAGTAGTACAAGTCATTATAACGTATGAGGAGAAGCCTCGGATACCTATTAGCACTAAATTGTCAGCGTTATGGGCCGTACGCAAATCAGGCATTCGGATTGATAACTTCCAAGAAATAATGCAGCAATTTTCGAAGAATTTGCAACTTTCTATTCTTTCGAATTGCGATGAGACGCGAATTATGGCGTTACGTCTTTTGGTGGAAACTCACAAAACCACAGAACCGTTAACACTTTTAGAATGTAAACATTTAATTACATACATTGAATATAACGCTAATTGTCAGAGTCCTGCGATCAGACAGAAGAGCTTGGCTCTACTAAGTAAAGCATTGGTCAGGTGTGAGCTTAATTTGGTGAAAATTTTGAAAGGTAAGCAGCCACCAAAAGCGGTGCAAAATCAGCCACTGGAATTAAAATTTCTACAAGACGTTATGCGCATATTGGTTGAAAACCTGTTTTTAGACGCCAATTTCGGGAGGCGATCTATATCTTTGCAACTATTAGAACAGTGTATGCGTATTGGTATTAATTGCAATTTGAAATTGATTAATTTATTGCCGAAAAGGGCCGTTCACGCACTTGCTTCAGTGCTCGCTGATTCCTACGAGATGAATAAAGAGTTTTCTGTAAGTATGCTCAAACTTGTGGAAGACAATGGAGATTGTTATTTAATCGAACTAAATGATTTGAATATTAATCTGGACGAAATAAAAAAGCTGCTGACTTCTATTCGTCCTGTGGACTCCGTTACGGCTGCTTATCAGCTCGAGTTTTTATGCAATCGAGCTAATCCTCGAATATTTGGCGATTTTGAATTGCCATCTTACGCGAATTGCCCATACGCAGCTATTAAATGGCTATTAATAGCAGCGAAGCAAGGTTTAAAACTGGCAAAGCAAAGCATTCTGGAGGCTGCCAAATGGAATCCCATATACGGCTTATTATTCGCTATTAAGCACATACTTAAGAAGTTAGATTTCGGCAGCTTAGCTCAGGAAATTTCCTGGCGAATACTAGTGGCTGAGTTAATAATGTTTTGTAAAGAATTGACAATGGTCGTAGCACCGATTATCAATAATTCTTCGCCTGAAGGTCTTTTACCGAACGATTTGAGTGCCTTCAATGAGGAATCGATTGGACAGGAGGTAAAGCATTTAGACATTTCTTTTGCTTATACATACATACATACATACATACTCTTATTCATCTTAATCATTTATTTGATGCAGGATTGTGAAGAATGTGAGGGCAAAAGCGCGCACAAAATTCTTTCGCCGAAAGCTAGAAATATTGATTTATGCGCGGTGAAGACGACGTCCCAGATGGTATTATTGTGTGCCTGGCGCAGTATTAAAGAAGTTTCTCTTATTTTGGGCGAGATTGTTATGTGCTCTCCCATTCAATTTAATAAATCAACTGAACAGTTCCTTATAACGAAAGAACAAATTTTAGAGATTGGTGAACATTTCAAATTGTTATTATCAGAAACTAAGCACCGTGGCGCCTTTGAACAAGCTTATGTGGGTTTCTCGAAACTTTGTTGCCGTTTATGGACAGTGGAATCACTCGATTTAAATTCCTTGCCAATGACTTGGCTAAGGGATTTAATTAGCCTTATTTCTTCACAAGAGATCAATCATGATAAAATTTGTGCCACCAGACGCAGCGCTGGTATACCATTTATGGTTCAAGCCTTAATCACATCGGAGCTAAAGGTTGGCTCTACAAAATCTTTATATTGCTGCATGTCCCATCTTTTACAGTTATGTGCGGCAAGTGAAAAAAGTTCAGAGAGTCGCATACATGCCTTAAATATACTTCGGGCTCTCTTTCGTTGTACTGATCTAAACGAAGCTGTTGGCGAATTCGTAGCGGATGGCATTATAGCCGCAATCAATGGATATGACAATCATAATTGGTCGGAAAGAAATTCAGCTACTTTGCTATTTGCTGCCTTAATTACACGCACATTTGGTGTTCAGCGGAATAAAGATTCGGAAAATTTGAATATTCGAAATAAAATGACTGGTCGCATTTTCTTTTTACGCTATCCAAAATTATATGACTACTTTTTGGAACAACTGCACCGTGCCAGCGTTTTGATACAAAATCAACAGAAAGCGCACAAATTGCATCCGCTGCTGCTAATTATGAGCCGGCTTTATCCATCAGCCCTTGAAGGGACAGAATCAAATTTAAAACTTTCTGAATTCTTACCACATATAGCGGAGTGTGGCTTTTGTCCGGAGATGCAGACTCGTGTAATGGCAGCCAAAGCCATAGTGGCTTTAATTAATAAGGATGAAGTTCATAACATGATCTTGAATAAATGTGCCGAAATTATGGTGAGCGCTCTCTCTCTCTCTCTCTCTCTCTCTCTCTCTCTCTCTCTC